TTTTTTTTTTTTTTTTTTTTAAGTGGGACATTTTTGTCTATTGCTGAGGTAGTCACTAACATTCTAGAAGACTGTTGGACATTAATTTAAGCCAGAGTGGGGCAACAGAGGAAGGTGAAAAGGGTTAAGGAAAAAGCTGTGTGGGGGAAGGAAGGCAGAGTCGGACAGCGGAGAGGAGCTTGCAGCTCGCACCTTCCTGGCTGAAAGGGAAAACAAGTTTAACAGGACTTAGGCCCTAAGGATCTAGGTTGCTGAAGGGGGGAGGGCAGACGGGGACAGGACTTTGGGGTTCGTTTGAAGAACGAGGCACCCTGCGGGGCACAAGCTAACGAAGGGAGTGGCTTCACAATTCCGGATAGTTGGAAGAGTGGCCCGCTGCGGGCGCCGAGGCTAACCCGGAGACTTGGGCGCGGCCAATTAGAATACAGACTGGGTCCGCCCAAATGCCTTCACCGTGCCCTGTGACCGGGAGGGCCCGCGGCTGGGCAGCAGGGCAAGAAGCCACCTCGCCGCCGAATCCCCGGGGCTGCCCGTCCAGCTCGGTCATGGAAACTGCCAGCACCCCTGAGGCTCCGGGGACAGGTGACCGACCCGCAGTGCTCCGCTCTTGGCGCGCCCCTTTCCTAGGCTTCTGGTCAGCCACGCTGCGCGGCCGGCCCCAGCCGGCCAGCGACCTGCCCGCCGTGGCTGGGGTTTTCACATTCGTTCCCAGCCACGTTCGTGCCTCCCATGCATCCCTGGGGCTTCCCTGCCCCGTGTCAACAAGCGCCCTAGGGTTCTGTGCGGGCCAGGGGCCTTGCATAGTCCTTTCCTCGTGTGCCCGCCTTTCTATGGGGGCCTATAGGCCTTGAGCAAAGACTGGGGTAAGGCGCAGGGGGCTTATGCCGGAACTTCTCTTGGATCCCAGAGGATTGTTCTATATACACCAGGCGCTCAGTCATGGTATTGGTGGTAGTAAATGAGCCCACGACTTTACAAAGGGCTAGGATCTTCTGCCCTCCCTTTTCCGCCTTCCGAGTCAATGAAATGGTGCACTCTCTCTTTAAGATTAAAATGGTGGCCTGCTAGGATGAGGCCTCCACTTCCGGTGGGGAGGGGGCGGGACCCCAGCCCGCTCACGCCGGAAGTGGTTCGCGTTCTCAAGATGGCGACTCCCTATGTAACTGACGAGACCGGCGGTGAGTGCGGGAATCGCGGAGCCGCTTCTCCCCGACTCTTGGGTTAGGGGTTCGGACTTGGAGAGGGGTTTGTGCCACGCCCATCCCGGGGCCCCTCCTTTGCCCCGCCCCCGTACCGCCTTCCCCATTCATTCCTGTGAGTTATCACCTGCGCCCCCTTCTGGTCTCTTGTTTGGGGGGTCTCTGCTTCCGGTCTCTCAAACCCTGGGGGTCCTTCAATGTCCCCTGCTCCGGGACCCTTAGGAGCCTCCGCTGTTTCTAGCTGTTGGAGTCGCATACCTTTTCAGAGATCTCCAGCATTACGGGCTCCTACACTATGAGTTCCCTCCAATTCCAACCCTCTTTCCCCCTCCCCCATCTCTTACTGTTATACCTGCTCTCTACCATACCCTGTTTGCATTCTTTTTCTCCAAGCTGTATCTGCAGAAGATCTCATTGCTACATAATGCTTCCCTCACTCTTTGTCTCATCTTTATTTGTTGGGGGTCACTGAAGTCCAGAGGTATGAAGGGAAGAGGAATTTAACTTTCAACTTGACTTTTTTCATTGATGGAGTTTTTCCATCTATTGTGGGAGAAAACAGGAAGGTATCTACTGGCCTTTCTCTCAACATCTTTGCCAATTAATAGAACCCCATTATTTCTTACAGCTTGAGTAGAATTTTAGTCCAGCTGTCTGCTGTGCGTGAAACTGAGTATCTGTTTTCTTTATGTTTTTGTCTGATTGCCTTATCTCTAGAATAAAGTGCATAATAGCAATATTGACCTCCAGATGATTAAATGGATATATGAAAAGCATTTGTAAAACACAATGCAAACACCTGGTTACTATTTTTGTAGTCATCATTGTAGTCTTCTTGTGTAGTCACTGACTAGTGTTTTGTAGAAGTGATCCTATGTTTGTGCAGTAATGCATGGTGTGTTTTAAAATGTGCCATGTATGTATCTTGGTTTACTTTCCATGTTCCTTATATTTAGGCTTATGATATTTACTGACAAGTTGGTTTTCTGCTACCTTTTCCTATTCTCGTATATCAAAATGTTATGCCAGTGTTTCCTTACCTTCTCTACTCAGTAGTCTTTAACTGGCAACCTTTTTAAAAAAGAAGACATGGTCTCATTATCCACCCCTGACTGGCCTAGAACTCTCCATGTAGACTAAACTTGTATTTAAGACATGTGTTCTGTCTTTAAACACGGAGAGATCTACCTGCCTCTGCCTCTAGATTGCTGGACTCAAAGGCATGTACCACTGTAATCAACCTTTAAATAGCAACTTTTTTCTTTAACCCTCTCTTCCTGCTTCTCCCAGACATGGTCTTACTATGTGGCTCTGCGTGGCTTGGAGTCCACTGTGTAGACCAGGCTGGCCTAGAAGGCATAGAGATCCACCTGCTTCTGCTTCCCAAATTGTGGGGTTAAAGGCATACACTGCCATGACAGGCAATTTGCAGTTTTTAATGAATGCATCATTATCCTTTTTATCCACATTTTTCATCTGGCCCCTGTCCTGCCATCAGAATTATTTTCTGTTCTTTATGACTATGTAGAAGAGAAAAAGAAATAAATTCTCTTTTGCTTTTCTAATTTTCAAATGTCTTGCAGTCATAGCTGTTCCTGTAAAACGGTGGTGTTCCTAGCTGCTGCTGCCCACAAATCGTTTTTTTTTTTTTAAAGAGTTATTTATGTGTGTGAATGTTTTGCCTGTGTGTATGTCTGTGCATCATTTGTATGGCTGGTGACCACAGAAGTCAAAAGAGGTATCAGATCTGGAACTAGAGTTACAGTTGTAAGCCTCTATGTCAGTTCTGAGAATCAATCCCTGAGCCATCTCTCTAGCCCTTTTGTTTTTATTTTTGTTGTTGTTGTTCTGTCTCAAGCACATTGGAAATGCTCTGAACTCCCAGTTCCTGAGCACGAGATCATTGACATACCTTTGTATTTTCAGCTACACCTCAGGATTACTACAACCTGGACCTCATCTGTGACACTCCTTTCCTTTCAGGTATTCCCCTTCACTTTAGCTTCCTTACCAGTCACCATTTTGACTGTCTCGAATCCACAGAGGCAGCCTTTTGCCCTCTTTAGTTTTCTGGTTCCATGTGTGTGAATGTGTGGGCCTGCCCGTATGCACGTGCATGTGTGGATGCTGGCCCACATGCGTGTGGGTGCCAGACGTTGATGTCAGGTGTCTTCCTTTACCCCTCCCCACCTCATATCTGCAGGATCTTTCACTGTAACACAGGGTTTGGTGATTCAGCTAGACCAGCTAGCCAGTTGGCTCCTAGAATCCTGTCTCTGTCTCCCAAGTGCTGGGGTTGTAGTCAGGACACCAGCTCACAGTATGTATGTGCATGCCTGGCCATCAGAGTTCTGGTCCTTACATCAGTGTAGCAAACGCTGTATCCTCTGAGCCATATCCCTAGCCTCCTCTTTATCGTTTTTTTTGTTTTGTTTTGTTTTGTTTGTTTTTTTGCTTTTTGGAAGCAGTTTCTTGTAGTTCAGGCTTGTCTTGAACTCTTATTCTTCCTGTTCCCACCTCCTAACCCTGCATTACAGACATTCAGTTCAGTACTGCACCTGACTGTCTTTGTCTTGAATGATATCCATTAACTCTTTCGGTTTCTGATCTTACACTGTAATATGTTGCTAGAAAAGAAAAAACTCAGAAGTTAGAAGGATTAGTGTAGTGTTAACCTCTGTCAGTTACAGCTTTTTTTTTCTACGTCTTGGTGTCCTAAATTCTCCCATGGCTATTTCACCAGCTTTTTTCCAGATCTCTGTCATTATGCCTTTAATTCTTCCTTTTACTTTCTATTTCATTGAAAAATTAAGACCTGTCATTTCTGTTTTTCTCTGTATCATAGCCAGCACTCTCAGTCTCTTCCCTTCCCTCTTCTCCCCTCCCTATCTCCTGCCTTCCATCAAGGTTTCCCTGTGTAGGCAGTCCAGTTTGCCCTCAGGTCAATGGCAGTCCTTCTGCTTCAACCTCTTAAGCCCCGAGATACAGGCATGGGTTGCCCCTGTAAAATCCAGCTTTCTATTTCAAATGTTTTGATGCCTGATTTGTTGCTTAACTGTAGTTCTTACTCCTAGCACTATCCTCTCTCCTGAGTTGCTCATGCCTTTTTGTTTTCAAATGCTGAATGTCTAACTCTGAAGTATATGGTCACATGTCAAATTCAATTCTTCTAATCTTTTCATTGTTATTTCTGTTATTGTCACCTTTTTCTAGCCAACTCTAGGGCAACCCTTTTCTCTTTTAAGACTTTGATTAGATTTTATTTATTTTGCACAATGAGGTGGTTTAGACTTGATTTTTCAGAATAGATTTAGATTTGTAGAGCAATTGAGAAGGTGGTTCAAGGAATTCCTCTATACCTGGTGTCTTTCCCTTTTAGCATTTCATATTGATAAAGTAAATTTCTTACTGTTAACTAATTAGAATCAATGTGTTATTGTTAACTAAAGTCATATGTTATTCAGGCCAGGCATGGTGGGAAGAGGAGACAGGAGAATTCCTACAGTTTGAGGCCAGCCAGGGTTACATAGACCTTGTCTCAAAACCCAAGCAAACAAAGGGAAACTACCTTAAGCTGGAGATGGTGGTCCATGCCTTTAATTCCAGCAGTTGGAAAGCAGAGGCAGTCTTATCTCTTGAGTTTAATTACAGCTTTATATAGTGAGTTCCGGGACAGCCAGAGCTAAATATGGAGACCCTGTCTCAACAGGATCTTGTCTAGCATGTCATATCATGTGCAGGTCTCATGTCCTTAATGACAGTGTCTCACACTTTAGGTGCCCTTGGTCATTTGATGAGCTTTTTATGGGGTTCTGTGGGTGTGAGTGTGTAGGTATATATGGCATGTATGCACATTCATGGTTTCAGAGGCCAGAGGAGGCCAGCTGGTGGCCTGTTCTCTTTCTCCATGTTCCTCGAGGCAGGGTCTCTCTCTGAGCCTGGAGCAAGCTGCAGCAGTCTTTGGTTTCTGCCCATGTGGTACTGGGCACAGGCACAAATGGCCACACCTGGCTCTTTACTTCCTTGCTGGTGATTCTTTTAAGATTATTTTTAATATGTTTATGAATAGTGTTTTGCCAGCATATATTAATTTGCTTGGTGCCTATAGTCAGAAGGTAGAAATAGTTGTCAGCTGCTAGCTGGTGCTGGGAATCAAACCTGGGTCCTCTGTAAGAGCAATAAGTGATCTTAACATCTGATCTTAACATCTCCAGCCTAAGTGGTATTGAGCTTTTTAACTAACATCCTCACACTTGCATAGCAGGGCTGTTATCCAGAGCCACACCCAACAGTTTCAGCAGTGCTAGACCTGTATTCAAATTTCTTCTCTCTCCCTATCCCCAGCTCTCTCTCTTTCACACACACACATACACACACACACATACACTCTCTCTCTCTCTCTCAAAGTTTGTCTGGAACTCTAGCTCTGGGAGGCCTTGAACTCTGGATTCACCTTTCCTCAGCATACTGAATGCTAGGATTCCAGGTGTATGTCACAATCCCCAGCTGTTTGATGTTTCTGTCATGATTAAATTTAGATTAGGTAGCTGGGCATGATGGTGCACGCCTTTAATCGAAGCACCTGGGGAGGCAGAAGCCAGCCTGATTTACCAGTTGAGTCTAGAACAGCTAAGGATACACAGAGAAACTGCCTCGAAAAACAAAAAGAAAAAAAGAATTATGGAGGAAGACTACACAGGATACATAGATTACAGTGATTTCCATCCACCCCATGTATAGTGACACTAATGTCTGTCTGAAGTAGTGTTTATAAACTCTTTCCACTGTAAAAGTTCAATTTTTCTTCATTTAAGAATTTTTATTTGTTTTTATGCATGTGAGTGTTTTGCCTGCATATATGTCTGCCCACCCCATGTGCTTGGTGCCATCAAAGCCAGAAAAGGCCATCAGATCCCCTCGAACTGGAGATACAGTTGTCATCGGCCTATAGGTGCTGGGGATTGAACCCTAATCCTCTGGAAGAGTAGTTAGTACTTTCTCTCTCTCCAGCATCTCCCCACCCCACACACACATTGTGTTTTATTGTGTTTTATGAGCACGGTCTCTGTGAGGACAGTCACTAGGAGCCTAGGTGTTAGATTGTCCTTTTTAAGGACAGATTATCCAGCATCTCCCCACCCCACACACACATTGTGTTTTATTGTGTTTTATGAGCACGGTCTCTGTGAGGACAGTCACTAGGAGCCTAGGTGTTAGATTGTCCTTTTTAAGGACAGATTATTTGGAGTCTTTTTTCTCACGTTTGTTTCTCAAGTATTTGGTTTGGCTTTTTGACACAAGAGTGTCATTTGAGACCAGGCTATCCTGGAATTCACTAGGTAGCTTAGGCTGTCCTTGAACTCACAGCAGTTTTTCTACTTTAGCTTTCCAACTGCTAGATTTAGGACATTTCCTTAATATTGATTTGCTAATATTTGTTTTATACTAGAGTTGTCTTCTAGTATTCTTTCATATATTTTATCCAAAAATTTTTGTTTTTGGGTGTCTAATGCTGCAGATAGATCCCAGGGTCTGGAACAAAATTTTTTTTTAAGATATATTTATTATATACACAATGTTCTATCTTCATGTACCACCTGCATGCCAGAAGAGGGCATGAGTTGTCAGTATAGATGGTTGTGAGCCATCATGTGGTTGCTGGGAATTGAATTCATGACCTCTGGAAGAGCAACCAGTACTTTTAACCTCTGAGCCATCTCTCTAGCCCACCCTGGAACATTTTAAGCAAAACTTGTACCACTGAGCTATACCTCCAGCGCTCAGCCTCCAGGCCTCCATTGTTCATTATTTGTTTGTTTGTTTGTTTGTTTGTTTGTAACAGGGTTTCTTTAGGTAGCCCTGGCTGACCTAGAAATGGAACTCTCTGTGTAGACCAGGCTGGCCTTGTACTCACAGAGATCTGTCTCCCTTTGTCTTCTTAGTGTTGGGACTGAAGGTGTGCCACGCTTCGCCCAGCATGCCCTCAGCTAAGCTCAAGTGATCCTTCTGCTTCAGCCTCTGAGGTTATTAGGTCTATAAGCACAAGCTGTTGTGCCTGCTCACAGTTAAATCATGTATCCTAGTATCTACTGTCATTTGGTAGATTGATCCTTCCTTCCTACCCCTCCCTCCCTCCCTTAACCCATTATTTTTGTTTGTTATTTGATACAGGATCTCCTTTTATAACTCTGGCTAGCCTGGTTCTTGCTCTCTAGAGCAGGCTGACTCCGATTTACAGTGACCCTTCTTCCTCTTCGTTGTAACCTATAGAATTTCAGGCACGCACCATCTTTTTAAGCTTGGTTGAATCTAGTGAGGCATACATTTGTTTGTATCTTGTCTTTTCATTTAATGTGATGGTATTGATAATACTCCTTGCTATTAAAAGTTCTTTGGCTGGGGATGTGGATATACAGCAATGATAGAACACTTACTACCACTCACACCTACTGTGTGTGAGGCCCTAGGTCTATCCTGAGTGGTACAAAAAGAACTCTCCCTAGGCTGTGTTGTAGTCTTAGCATCTCAGAAGGCTAAGGTAAGATAACTTGAGCTCATGACTTTGGAGCTAGTCTGGGCCAGCCGCAAAACAGGTTCCTAAAACTTCTTTTTGTTTGTTTTTACATTTATTTTACTGTGTGCATGAGTGCTTTTCTTGTAAGCATGTATGTGTACCACTGTGTGGAGTTTAGGTCCCATGGAACTGGGGTTGTGGATGGTTGTGGCTTTTGGGAGCTGAAGTTGGGTCCTCTGTTAGAGAAACAAGTGCTTTTAATCACTGGCCTAGCTCTCCAAAAAGACCCCCCCCCCACCACTTTAACTGTGAAGTGCTATGAGTTTGCATCCTTGTGCAGACTGACATACTGATCTCTATATTGTATGTTGTTGGTTATTGATATTTATTATTGATATATCTTTTAGTTAAACAGTGTATACCTAAACAGCTGTATACCCAAATCACCACCCAGAGAGCTAGGATTTAT